CTCCCCCTGCTCATGCTCTCTCTCTCTCTGTATCTCTGTGTCTCAAATGAATAAAAAAAACCCAAAACTATAATCCAAGAAAAAGTCCACAGATAAAGTAACACCTGACGCTGCATATTGAAAGGGCCCACCAAGTACCTGGATTAACTGGATGGTCAATTTTACCCAAGATGGTAAATTCTATTACAACGGCTATATTGATAAAATGCCAGAACAAAAATAAATAAATTAGGGACGCCTGGGTGGCTCAGTCGGTTAAGCGACTGCCTGTGGCTCAGTTCATGATCCCGGGGTCCTGGGATCGAGCCCCATGTTGAGATCCCTGCTCGGCAGGGAGCCTGCCTCCCCCTCTCCCTCTGCCTGCCATTCCGCCTACTTGTGCTCTCTCTGTCAAATAAAAAAAAAGTGCTGCTATGAACATTTGTGTGCAAAATTTGGTTGGACATATTCTTCTTTAGGATATTTTAATCTGTGTCAATGAGTAAAATTGGTCTACAATTTTGTACTTATGTTATCGCTATTTGTATCATGTTATTTTAGCCTTATAAAATAAGGTGGGTAATATTTCCTCTTTTTCCATTCCCTGGAGGCATTTGTATAAGATTGTAATGATCTCTTCCTTTTGGTAGAAAGTGTCTGTACAATTGTTTGGGCCTCATGATCCTTTGTAGTAGAATTTTCCCTACTGATTCAGTTTCTCTAGTAGTTATATAATCATTCAGTTTTTCTATTTCTACTTGAATGTGTTTTTGGATATTTTCTGATAATTTGCCTATTTTCACCAAAGTTGTCAAATTCACTGGCACGGAGTTCAAAATTTTCTCTTATCATCAATCTCTGGCATATTTGCAATTATTACCTCCTTTACATTTTTAATATTGTTTATTTGTATCCATTGCTTTTTCTTGATTAGTTATGTTCAATTTTAGTCTTTATTTTTTTTTTAAAGATTTTATTTATTTGACAGAGAGAGCACAAGCAGGGGAACAGCAGAGGGAGAAGCAGGCTCCCCGCTGAGCAGGGAGCCTGACGCCGGACTCAATCCCAGGACCCTGGGATCACGACCTGAACCAAAGGCAGACGATTAATGGACTGAGCCATCCAGGCGCCCCTAATTTTAGTTTTTAAAGAGCCAATTAGGTCAGCGTTGATCCTCTCTAATTTTGTTATTTTGTTCATTTCTGTTCTTGCCTTTATTCATTTTCCCTTTGTGGGGTTAATTTTTTTCAATTTATTATTATGAAAATGTCCTGGGCGCCTGGGTGGCTCAGTTGGTTGGGCGACTGCCTTTGGCTCGGGTCATGGTCCCGGAGTCCTGGGATCGAGTCCCGCATCGGGCTCCC